AATTTTGTAGAATGAACAATTGATAGGGTTCGAAATTCAAGTTCGTGGACCCTTTGACGTTTCAGATAGAATTGGACACGCAGGAGAAACGATAAATACATCAATGAGAAGATCTAGTATTCTCGTGCCTCCTTCCCCCTTATCACCATTAAAAAGTTCTTTGCTAAATCCAAATAGTTTTGATGGATGTTGGGACGAATTATTCATGATTTGTGGAGGAACTGGTATAACTCCAATGTTGCAGGTATGTAATAAATTAAATTAATTTATATATATATATTTCTATAAAAAAAAAAAAATGCTGATGAGTTATATTGTTATTGTAGTTAATTAGATATCACCTTGCACATATTAAAAGTAATGATGAAACTGAACAAAGACATAGAAGAATTCATATGCATTTATTATTTGGTAATAAAACTATCGAAGATATAATTGATGGTATAAGGTTAGAAGAATATTCATTATCAAGTAGAGGAATGCTTACAATCAGTTACGTTCTTTCGAATCCACCCGAAGGATGGTCAGGTTTACAAGGACAAATTAGCCCGGGAATAATACGAAAATGGTTAAGCGATGTCAAAGCCATACCACCAACTACACCCACATCATCTGTATCACAATTTGGAGATATACATAAGAGCCATACTTTACGAGGACATGGATATAATTTACCTAAACAAACAACGTTAATATGTGACGAACCTCTACCAATACCTGCCAAACAATCGTTATTATCATTATATCGTGATGATCCTCTTTCAGCACCTAAATATCAAGGGTACTCTTCAACACATCAACCATATCCTCAAACAATGACGGAAGAACCAACGTCTTTGGGACATTCAACGACACGAGTTAATCTTCCACTAACTTTAACAACACCACACAAACCTGTTCCTCAAGGTTCAAATAGTTGGCATTCACTATCACATGAATCACCCACTTCATTTCATCCATTATATAATCAAGAAGAGCATGAAGAAAATTATGAGAAGATGCGAGGTTCGCCTTCTAATTTTATAACGAATATGTCAAACTTTAAAATTATAGTGTGTGGTCCACCGGGAATGATAACGATTGTTGAGCAAACATTATCTGAAATGGGTTATTCTGAAAATGATAGCATTTTATTAATATAAAATGTTTATATATGTTTGTATATACAACAAAATAATATTTTATATCGCAGCCCATCAAATCAATTAATTACAGTTATTATTATTTGAATTAATTACTTGCAATGGTTTGTGTAAATTTTGCAAATCATTTGTTTTGACAAAAAAATATTTTAATAAACTTGTAACCGTTTTTAGCTGTGGAAAATTCCTTTATTCTTTTTGTATTACAATTTTTATTAATTCGGATTTTTGATCGGCTTTCAAATTAATTGTCAAATTGTGATCCGATTTTTTTTTTAAAACAAAAAAATGGCTTTAGAATAGGGTGTCCAGAAATATGTGGCGGTAAATCTCAAAATATGTATGCGCTAATAAATAAAATATGCGATAATATGTGTTCATAATTCTGGTAAAAATTATGTTTAATTTTTAAATTTTAGGTAAAATTATTAAAGTAAAAATGATTCGCAAAAAAAAATCAATTTATTTATTTTTATTATAATATAAAAAATTAAGCATTGAAATAGATTTTTCAGAAAGACGCATTCTTCTTTCACTTAAATTATTTTTATAATTAGAAAAACTGCGCTCTATATCTACTTCAGCTATTGGTAACCAAATATAAATCAATGCTATTTTTGATAAATTTGATAATATTAAACTTTTTTTCTTTCCAATTTTTATCTAAATCCAATTCTCCTTCTTCAATTACTTCTTCTAATCTACTGTAAATACTCCATTCATCTAATAAAACATTTGTAGGATTTTGAAATTCAATTATATTAGTATATAATAAAATATTTTGTCTATTAATTTATGCATTAATAAACTGGGGATCAAATCATTGAATATCTCTAAATAAAGGTAATGCCGAATGATGCTGAATATGCTTATTCCATTTGTTTAATGCAATTTGATATCTTGTTTAAAATGAGATTTAAATTCCAAAGGATCAACATGATTATCTAATGGGGTAGATTGTGCATTTGTACATTTTGGGCAGGTAAAATACATTATTATCCGGCCCAATAGTTTGATTATGTAAATCATGTGATTTTTGATAATCAGTGATGATCATAAAAAAAAACTGGTCCGATTTTAATTTAAGTAATTGTCAATACTGTTTAAAATGATCAGTGATCTTCAATCGCTCTTCCAAATTTATTTTCTGCATTTTTTTCTTTGTTAAAAATGTCACGTATTAATAGTGGCGGTCGTCTAAAACATCGTTTTACAAGCTATATTAAAATATTAGAAAACGAATCAAATAGCATATATAACAAAAAAGTACAGTGTATAACGTGTAGAGATAACCTTGGAGATAATGCACATATATTTACCAATAAAAAAGATCGTGTCAAACGCCACTTAGAAAAT